TCATCATGACCGCTCCGCGGGCGGCATCCGCGAGCTCAAGCTACGCTATTTGGCACACATGTTGAGGCGTGGGGTGGTGATGGCGGTCCAGGAAGTTCATGCTACGCGTGCTGAGCTCCATCAAGCTCTGCATCGGCTGCACGTCCCATGCCAGGTATTCGAGTCCATACCACGCGTGGATGCTGGTGGCGTATGCATCATCGTGCCATGCGATCCCTTGGTTCTGCAGCGGGCGCGCTTTCGTCCTGAGGTCATTGTACCTGGTCGTATCCTGAGGCTGAGGATCTCTGCGATCGCCGCTGATGGCAATTCTTCTTGCAGCACAGTCATTTACAATGTGCACAACTTTGGTTTAAGCGATGAGGATCGCGTGATATTTCGTAGCAAACTCTTTTCCGATCTCACAATGGCGGACATGGCACCTGAGAAGGTCACCGTTCTCTTGCTGGGAGACTTCAATTTGTATAAGCAAGCGCCCATGTACCCGCGTGCTCCTGAGATAGACAAGAGGCGTAGTCAAGGTGATGTTGCAGTGCGTGCCCATGACGCCTTCTGGCAGAGTGTGTTTAGTCGCATGATGGAGCTGGACAATGAGCTGCCCACGCATTACGTCACAAATGAGTGGCAGCCTAAGCTCACCCAGATCGATCGTGTGTTCGTTTCTATGCCGAGCTGGGCTGCCCTGCAGCAGCACTTCGATGCGCTCACGGAGGATAAGCCTGAAGACCTGCACGAGAGAGGCATAAGTGACCATGCTCCCGTCGTGATCTCGGTATCGGCCCGTCAGGTGGCGCTTGCCGAGGAGCAGAGGATCCCCTCCCACTTCTTCAAGGATCCTGAGTTCTCTGTGCAGTACGAGAGGCTGCGCGCGCTCGTCGACTGGTCTAAGCTCGGGGTGTATGCGACAAGGCGGCGGCACAAGGATCTGATGAGGGAGGCTGCGAAGTACGTGAGGGATCTGCGCTGCCGCAAACCAGCTGGCGAGACGAAGCTGATGGTCTTTCGCTCGATATCTCGAGCAGTCTGGCGGGATGATGTCGAGTTGGGACAGAGGCTTCTATTGACGTGTGAGATCGCGCCGACGTACATCACGGTCTCGAGCGTCCAGGTCTCACTGATCCACCCGCCGTCGTTTGCCAGGGACTTCGCTGAAGCTCAGCGCTTGCACTTCGAGGCTCGAGCGGCTGCCCTGTCGGAGCAGGAGGCGAAGGCGTTCGACCCCAGATCGTTCAAGATGATGAATGCTGCCCGGCGCAAGATGCGTAGGCGGGAGGCCTTGTGGTCGCCTTTCAATCGCACGCTCAAGTTGCAGGGCATCAAGGTGCCTGACGACGAGGGACACAAGGTGCTGACGGACCAGGTCGACGTGATCGAGGCCCTCCGCGACCACTGGGCCCCGATCTTCCAGGTCAAGCCGAAGGTTCCCAACTGGCAGGTCCTCGCGGACAGGTACATCAAGGAGCACGCGCCGCTGCTGGAGGTGGCCGACCTGCTCCCCCCTGATCGGCAGGCGTTGCTCCGCGCTGCTGCTCGCGCCAAGGAGTCGGCGCCTGGGCCTGACGGTTTGCCGTATGCTGCCTGGCGTGCCTGCCCCGCAGCGCTTGCTGCGCTGGAGGACGTGGTCCTAGAGATTGCGTCTGGCAGGCCGCCGCCCATCGACTGGAACGACCACCTGCTCGCCTTTCTCCCGAAGGGCTCGTATGAGGAAGATCTGGTGGAGGGCGCATTCCGCGCGCCGTGCACCACGCGGGCGATTGCGCTCAAGAATGCGGACTGCAAGCTGGTGGCATCAGCGGTGAATGCACGGATCAAGGGCCCCATTGAGAAGGCGTCGCCTGCCCCACAGCGGGGCTTCCTGCAGGGCCGCAACTTCCTGGACAATATCTGCCTGCTCGACGCCACTGCAAGGGCCGCGGGGATGCAGGAGTCGGGCAAGCCCATCATGGCCTTGTTCGACTTTGGTGACGCGTTCCCGTCTCTGATGACGGAGTGGATGCTGCTCATGCTGGTCCGCTCGGGGTTCGTCGGAGGAGTTCGGTTCGTGCTGGAGGCGCTCTACTGGCTTCCCACGGCGTACGTGGAGCTCGCGGGCGCGATGGTGCGTTTCGTGTGCGTCTCGTGCGGGCTCGCGCAGGGATGCCCGTCGTCTGGGAGTCTCTGGGCCATCGCAATGAACCCGTTCATACATCACATGATGCAGTACACGGATCGAGATGCCAGTCGCCTCTCCGCCATCGGGGTTTGTGCTGACGACGTTGGGGTGGTGCTGCGATCGCGCCACCTGCTTCGTGGGATGTGGCGGGCCTTCGCAGCTGCGAGGGCGCTCGCGAGCCTGCACCTGAAGCTCCACAAATGCGTGCTGATCCCGCTGGAGGGCAAGTTCTCTGACGAGCTCGTCGCAGACCTCAAAGGATGGCTGGCCGAGGCCCTGCGCGAGTGGAGTGGCATGCAGGTGCGCGACCAGGCGGAGTACTTGGGCTTCGTGGTCGGCCCTGGTGCG